AAATGTGAGACTCAGCTAATCGGCGTGGTTTTGATGATGCCACAGTTCTGCCCAAAACCCTTGTAACTAGCAAGTTTGCCCTGAAGATTATCGAATTACTCCACTGACCATGCATTATTTAAAGGGAAGTGCTGTTATTATAGAAGCCAGCTGTTTAACCATTGGAATCCTGTCTGTTGGCCAACTTTCAAGATGCAGCAGGGCACTGTGACTAAACATTATGTCTACTCCCGGAGCAGTCAAAGTGTAGGTTAGGTGGTGGCCAATCTTTGGTCTACATGCTATGAAACCTCTCAAGCAAAAATACTGACAAAATAAACATACAAAAATACAAATTTTCAATGTTAAGACTGTCAGCAAGAAAAAAACATCCATGGAATGGTATGCATGCCTGCTCACCCTAACTGCCAAGTGAGTACATAGCCCTCCGTAAGGCCAGCACAACAGAGCTGGGGGACTGCACCTCACTGCAAAGGGACTGTCCCACTCGCTACCTCTGCTGTGGCAATGACGGGGGGACAATAAAAAATGTTTTGAGTGTCTTAGGGAAACGCAAATGATGTGTAGGGAACAAGTCTTCATCTGCTAAATTTGGAAATAGCTGAAGCTCTTTCTTAGGAACCATGTGAGTGGCTGCCAGCTCTACTGAACAGTTAGGCACTTGTCAGTTTCTTCTCCACCTCTTCATAGACATTGTGGAAAGGGGGAGCCTGTAGCAGACATCCACTGTGTTCAACGCAGGAATCGGACAGGTTCATACAGAAGTTATGTGGCTGCTTCGGGCAACGGGGAGTGCACTGCTTTTCACAGAAGTATGTCTCATTTCTAACACTTTCCAGTTCAAGTTGTTAAATACTAACTCTTTGGTGTTTCCTCTTTCTGACAATAGAATTAAAATAGTTATAATAACCATCATTTTTTCCTTTCATCTACCAATTTTGATTCTAACCACCAGAGCAGAATTACATAAGGAGGGGTTTCTAAAGGCAAGAATGGAACAATTAGTCTGTTTCATTTAAATATTAGTCGAAGTGACTAAAATGAGGTGAAATTTACAGGTCATTATAATAATTATTTTTCTCAAAATTTATATTGGTGAATTTTTATACTGATGTTATAATAACATAAAATGGATTGAATTAGGCTCTTGTCTTAATCCATAGCAGCAAATGTCTTTATCTCTAACTTACAGCAAATATCCAGTCTCTCTAAGATTGTGGTGGTTCTGGAAAAAGAAGGAATTTGAAGATAATGACAAAAGTTTGACCCACAGTTGTGGCCTCCCAAATGGTGAAAAAAAAAAAAGATGATTTTTTAATTGGATATCTTCATGTAGAACTAGAAATCAAGCTTATAGGATACTTCAAAGGGTGAATTAAATTTTAAAAGGCATTAGGTAAACAATTGTTATATTCATATATTCTGAATAGAATACAATGAGTCTATTGTAGACATTATGAATAGACAAAGAAAAATATCTCTCTAGGACTGTGGTGGTTAGAGATAACTGGTAGTTATGTTTATGGGAAAATCCAACTCTCTATACCACTACTTCAATAAGAGTTTAAAAACAGATATGGACATAAGATCAATTTTCTTTATGAAACAATATAGAAAAGTCCTAGAATTCTCTCTTTCAAAATTCATGAGTCTATGGACAAAAAAAAAAAAAAAAAAAAAAA